CCCCAACCACCACCGCCGCCGCAACCAATACCACCACCGTGACCACCACCACCGTTCTGCCCCCGCCACCACCCTCATCTCCGATGGACACCCTCGCTGCGTCCGTTTACGGTCTGCAGCGACAAATGGGCCAGTTCGCCACAAGGCTGTCGGCCATGGAGGGCCGCACTTCACCATCACCGGCCGGTCCATCGTCCCTCGTCTCGCCGTCCACCGCTCTCCCGTATGGGCTGCCGGGGTACGGCGGCGTTCCACCGCTGCCTACCACGGACTCCGTCGTGATCCATACCGCGGCGCAGGGGCAGCAGTCCGGGCCACCACCGATGCTGCCAATCCACCAGATTCCGTTCCCACACTCGCTGTCCCCATTGCTGTCGTTCGACATGTCCCTGCCTCAGCAGCAACCGGCGCCGTACGAGGGACACGCGGACGCGTTGGGCGTTCCGCGCTTCCAGAAGCTGAACTTCCCCACGTTCGACGGTGTCGACGACCCTCTCGGCTGGCTGAACAAGTGTGACCACTTCTTCAGGGCACAGCGCACGCCGGAGGGCGACAAAGTATGGCTGGCATCCTTTCACATGAATGGTGTTGCGCAGCAGTGGTACTACATGCTCGAGCGCGACTACGGCGACGTCAGCGCCATCTCCTGGCCACTGTTCAAGGCGCTATGTTACCAGCGCTTCGGACCAGCCCTCGCCACCAACCATCTCTCCGATTTGGCGCGGCTACCGTTCGACGGATCCGTTCAGCGGTACCAGGAGGCGTTCCTGGCTCGGCTGGCTCACGCCGAGCCCCTCACCCCAATGTAGCAGGTGCGGCTCTTCACCGGGGGCCTACCCGAACCCATCCGCACTGATGTGGAGCTATAGGGGCCTACTGATCTCCAGCGGGCCATGGGATTGGCCCATGCATACGAGCGCCGCGCGGCTGCCCTGGTGCCAGTGGCGCCCAGCCGACCACCACGCCCACCGCCGCGACAGCAGCCGCTGGCCCTGCTAGCGCCGACGTCGACACATCTGCAGCTGCTAGCGCCGGCCGCGAACCCGACTCCTCCACCTCGACCGTTCAAACGGTTGTCGCCAACGGAGATGGCGGACCGCCGAAGCAAGGGGCTGTGCTACAACTGCAACGAGCCGTACGTTCGCGGCCACCGATGCCAGCGCCTCTTCTACTTGGAGGTCACCGACTTCCACGACTCGGAGCCCCCCCCGCCGGACGAGGAGCAGTCCCCACCGCCGGCGGTAGACGAGCTGCCACCGCTCATCTCGCTGAGCGCGATCACCGGCATTCGGACGGAGGACACGATGCAAGTCCACATCGCCATCGGCAACTACGAGCTCACTGCCCTCATCGACTCCGGGTCAACTCATAACTTCATCAGCTCCGCAGCAGCTCGCCGCGTCGGCCTCCACTTCCACGACAGCAAGGGTGCTCACGTGGTGGTTGCCAACGGCGACCGCGTGGCGTGCCGTGGCCTGGCTCGCGACGTAGCCATCCGCATCGGCGAAGAACACTTCACTGTCGACTGCTACACCATCCCACTCGACTGCTACGATATGGTCCTAGGTGTCAAGTACTTACGCACCCTAGGCCCTATCTTGTGGGACTTCGACGACCTGTGCATGGCGTTCTGGCACAACGGCAAGCGCGTCCTCTGGAAGGGGATCGGCTCCATGCGCACGGACACTCCACCAACGGGGCGGCTGCATGCGGTTCGCGATGCCGAGACGACATTGTTGGACCGGCTGCTGGACTCCTTCAGCGACATCTTCGAGTCCCCAGCCGGCCTGCCACCCGCACGCCCCTGTGATCATCGCATTCATCTGCTGCCGAACACCGCGCCGGTTGCAGTCCGCCCCTACCGCTATCCGCACCTCCAGAAGGATGAGTTGGAGGCGCAGTGCACGACCATGCTTGAGCAGGGCATAATTCGCCCGAGCACCTCTCCATTCTCCGCGCCGGTGCTGCTAGTGAAGAAACCGGACGCGTCATGGAGATTTTGCGTGGATTACCGCGCACTGAACGACCACACCGTCAAAGATAAGTTTCCGATCCCTGTGGTCGAGGAGCTCATCGATGAACTGCACGGTGCCAAATACTTCACCAAGTTGGATCTTTGCGCCGGGTACCATCAGTTGCGTGTCCACCCGGAGGATGTGGCCAAAACGGCGTTCCGCACGCATCACGGGCACTTTGAGTTCCTCGTGATGCCGTTCGGCCTCACCAATGCGCCGGCAACGTTCCAGGCATTGATGAACGCAGTACTGCAGCAGTTCCTGCGTAAGTGTGTCCTTGTATTTTTTGATGACATACTCATATACAGCGCCTCCTGGACCGAGCACTTGCAACATCTACGTGTGGTCTTCACCGAGCTCCGCGTGCATCAGCTGCGCCTCAAACGCTCTAAGTGCGCCTTCGGCACCTCGTCGGTGGCGTACCTCGGGCACATCATATCCGCGTCCGGGGTAGCCATGGATGGCGAGAAGGTAGCGGCTGTGGCGTCGTGGCCGCAGCCCATGTCGGCGTGTGGACTCCGCGGGTTCCTCGGCCTCGCCGGGTACTACCGGCGCTTCATCAAAGACTTCGGCAATGTCGCAGCGCCCCTCACCAAGCTGCTGCGCAAGGACGGCTTCCAGTGGACCGACGAAGCAGCCAGGGCGTTCAACGCCCTCAAGGAGGCACTGTCCACGGCGCCGGTCCTGCACCTTCCCGACTTCACCACGGAGTTCGTAGTGGACTGCGATGCGTCGGGCACGGGGTTTGGCGCCGTACTTCACCAAGGCGCCGGACCCCTGGCCTTCTTCAGCAAGCCATTCGCCGCCCGACACTTGAAGGTGGCGGCATATGAGAGAGAGCTCATTGGCCTTGTACAAGCAGTGCGCCATTGGCGGCCCTATCTGTGGGGGCGCCGGTTTGTGGTGCGCACGGATCACTACGCGCTCAAATACATGCTCGATCAACGACTTTCCACGGTACCGCAGCACCAATGGATCAGTAAGTTGTTCGGTTTTGATTTCACTGTGGCGTATAGGCCGGGCAAGTTGAACACGGTTGCCGATGCGTTGTCTCGCCGCGAGCTGCCGGTAGAGCACCTTGCTGCCCTGTCATCACCCACGTTCAGCCTCTACGACGATCTACGCGCGGAGCTCCAGGCTGACGCCACGCTGCGCCACCTGCGTGACACCATAACGGAGTCGCGTGGTGAGCCGTGGCACGTCGAGGATGGCCTGATCCTGCGTGGGTCCGCCGTCTACGTTCCGTCTACGTTCCACCGACGTCCCGCCTCCTCGCCGACGTGCTGCAGCTGGCACACACGGCGGGACATGAGGGCGTCTAGAAGACCTTACAGTGGCTCCGCCTCAGCTTCGCCATGGACCATGATCGCAGGGTGGTGCGCGACTACTTCCGCTCCTGTTCTGTGTGCCAGCGGAACAAGACAGACACACTACATCCAGCCGGCCTGCTGTAGCCATTGGAGGTGCCCTCTCAGGTTTGGTCTGATATTTCGCTTGATTTTGTCGAAGGGCTTCCCAAGGTGAACGGCAAGAGCATCATCCTCACGGTGGTCGACCGCTTTTCGAAGTATGCACACTTCATTGCGCTCGGCCACCCGTATACGGCATCCTCGGTAGCGCGCGCGTTCTTCACCGATATCGTCCGGCTACATGGTTTTCCAGCCTCCATTGTGAGTGACCGTGATCCCGTGTTCACCGGCAACGTATGGCGCGACTTGTTCAAGATGGCGGGCGTCCAGCTACGCATGAGCACTGCCTTCCATCCACAGACAGACGGGCAGTCCGAGGCAGTGAACAAGACCATCGCAATGTATCTGAGGTGCATCTGTGGTGACCGCCCTCGCAAGTGGCTGGAGTGGCTTCCGTGGGCTGAGTTCTGCTATAACACGGCATTCCACTCCGCCTTCGCGCTCGCGCCTTTTGGTGGTCTATGGCGGGCACCTCCCGTTGCTGCCCTATGAACCGCCACGCACGCACGCACCATCGTCGACACACTCTGCAGGGCGGGGGCGTCTTCACGGCTGATGTTCGCGATCGACTCCTCCAAGCACAGAACTACGCCAAGAAGCACTATGATGCGCACCACCGTGCGCTGGAGTTCAACGTCGGCGATTGGGTGCTTCTTCGCCTCCTCCACCGCCCGGCGCAATCGCTGATGCCTGGCCGTCGGGGCAAGCTGAGCCCTCGCTTCGCCGGGCCGTTCCTAGTGCTGGAACGCATAGGCAACGTCGCCTACCGCCTGCAGCTCCCGGAGCATGCGCGCATCCACGATGTGTTCCACGTTGGCGTCTTGAAGCCCTTCCACGGCACCCCGCCCGCGACTACGCCGGCGCTTCCACCGCTCCGCAGCGGTCGTATCCTTCAAGCTCCAGACCACGCCTGCGCGCCAGCTCCGTCGTGGCGATTGGCATGTTCTCATCCAATGGGCAGGACTGTCGGCCGATGAAGCTACCTGGGAACCCCTCGACGAGTTTCGCCAAGCCTTCCCGGACTTCCAACTCGAGGACGAGCTGTTTGTCGACGGCGGGAGAGATGTTATGGTCGGTCAAGTGTATCAGAGGCGCAAGCGTGCACGTGGCTAGGTGCAACGCGCGCATGCGCCGGCGCGTGGTGACCGCGCCCAGGTTCAGTCCAGATTCGGAGTCCTAGTTTCTAGGATCTTGATTTGATTCAGTTCAAGTTGTTAGGCAGGGAGTAATTTTAGGAACTTTCAGTTGTAAGATTGGGCCATATAAGCCAATCAATTAGTCAATAATAAAACAGTCAGAGATTGAGAAAGCTCTCTCTGGCCCTTAAACCCCAGCCGACTCTCTCTCTCGTCTCTGTTTGCCGCCGGCCGTCAGGACGGCGTCGAACGTGCACCACCGCCGAGAGACTCGTCCCAAACCTCCCACGTCCCATAGCTACAACCTCCGGAGCATCACTAACGATCCTAACAAACATGCATTTGTAGTTGCCATCTTTTGTATATTTTAAACATCTGTCATGGACATTGTGAGGGCTCCATGTTCAGCATACAGCAGCTATAACACAGCACGGGCTCCACCATGGTTACTGTAGTATAAGAAAGCAGTGGATTAGGTGGCCTAATTTCTATTAGGTCAGTTAGGAATTCATATTTAATAATTGACCTAACTTAGGATCTTTTCTCACCATGGTTACTGTAGTATAAGAAAGCAGTGGATTAGGTGGCCTAATTTCTATTAGGTCAGTTAGGAATTCATATTTAATAGTTGACCTAACTTAGGATCTTTTCTCTTGTATTATTTTATTTAGATTGGATTGTTATGATAGTAGACACAATAGAACTATACTCGAAATGTTCCCAATGTATTGTAAAATGCAGGTGCAGTCAAGACGCGGTTGAAGTACTTCCAGACTACATGAAGGACTTCTACCTGTTTTTATTGAAGACATTTGATTCTTGTGAGGATGAGCTAGGACCAAACAAAAGATATCGGGTGTTTTATCTCAAAGAAATGGCAAGTATTGACTAGCCAACAAGTTACTTAGCAAACACATGCATTTAGTTCAATATCCACAATTACTACTTCAACCTTTCAACTCATCATTCAGATTTCTATGATCAAAATTCTGTTAAGTAAAGACCCCCCCAGTTTTGTGCATGGAGAATGTGACAGGCATGCACAAGCACAACAACATGAACTAAAAATCTTCATTGCAAAACTTTCTTCAAGAAATCGCTATGGCTTTGCACTGATATTACTATGTAATATGTTCCACAAATTTATGTGTTGCAGTTAAAGATATTGGTCCGAGGATACTCTCAGGAGATAGAATGGCGTGATGAACATTACGTTCCTGAAACAATTGATAAACATCTTGAAATTTCAAGAGTGACTGTTGGAGCTTTTCAATTGGCATGTTCTTCATTTGTTGGGATGGGTGACATCATAACAAAGGGAGTTCTCGATTGGCTTTTGACATATCCAGAACTTCTCAAGTGTTTCACAACGTTTGTACGACTATCCAATGATATTACATCAACAGAGGTCTTTCTCTATCTTGACACATCTTTATGTATATTTTACACCTTACAGTACCAACAATTATAATCTTGTAACCAAATTCCTCATGATATAAGTAGATAATTTAGTAAGTACTGGCTTAACAGTACCAAACTAATGAAACACATGATCGCAAAGCTTTTTTTTAACGCAAACATGGTCACAAAGCTCACTTAGTCAGTCTACTTATTTTTTTCACTATTTTGCAGCGCGAGCAAACTGGAGGGCATCATGCTTCTACTGTTCAATGTTATATGTTGCAGCATAGCACAACGATGCATGGTGCATGTGAGAAGATAAAGGATTTAATTGAAGATTCATGGAAGGATATGATGCAACTCTACCTTACACCAACAGAACAGCCAAAGGTTGTGGCACAGACAATTGTTGACTTTGCAAGGACGGGGGATTACATGTACAAGAAAACTGATGCATTCACTTTTTCCCATACAATCAAAGATATGATAGCATTACTGTATGTGGAGCCAATATTGTTCTAAGCTGCAGAGATCAGACAAGACCCATTTACCAGCTATCATACTTCGAAATATAGTGTTTATTTACTTTCATCAGTATAGAATAAAATGGTGAGTGCTAGACTTGTGTTCAGAAATATTGGCAGTTAAGGTAGTGTAAGAATGTTGTAATAGGTAAAGTACAAAACACTATCGTTAGCTCATTACATAAATGTATTGTGTTACCCTCCCAAGTAATATCTGTGCCTTTTTTTCTTTTTGCATACATTGTTCTGTTTCAATCTCTCTAAAACTACTGGCGATGCAAAAATACATGACAATGCTAGGTTTGTTAAAATGCTTTTCATGAGGAGGTGTTCATTATCACATTTTGCTGTATATCATCCTCATGAGTCCCAGTAAGGATGTTCATTCTTTTGTTTAGGGAAACAATTATAATGTAATTGGCCTATTTGACATTATATGGGAATATAGGTAACTCCCATAGTCTCAGATGCATTGTTGGGGTCAACGAATAGAATGTAATGGGTGCAAATATTTTTTTTGAGAACACGTCCGTTGACACGTGTTTCATTAAGAGGGTAATGAGTGCAAATACAAGACAGAACACCAGAGGTCTGTTATTCAGGAATGTTTACAAGTGGAGGCAGTGCAATCTCTGTTGGCCCCCGGATCTCCCGCACGGGTGAGCCGACCGCTCATCGGAGTTGCCGACCACACACTATGGCTAGAGGTAGAAGAAGAAAAAGAAAACAGAGCGCGCACACACAGCACAAGCACTAGTGTTGGCCGGAGCTCTACAGAGGAGATGGCAAAACTGAACTCGCTCTCTTTATTGAGTTGCAGTGGGAAGCTATAAATACAACTCTACCCATTTAATCCTAGTACACAGACATGCCAGACTGTCAGGCTGCTACAGTGACTAGATGTGACAGCAGGGCTGACTTTGGCGCCTGCCCCTGCCGCGCGTTCACACATGGGAGAGCAGTAGATTACTTTACAATTCTTCCCCTAATTCTGCTGCTAACCCTAAAACCTGCACCATGCTGATCATCTTCTTCAGTGTAACACCTCTGGTGTTATGAGCTCGCTAAGTACTGAGATTATAGACTGAGAGATAGATCTAATAATATAGTGAGTTCGTTTACTTAGAGTAAAGAGGTGGTCATAAAACTCCTAACAAAAAGAATAGAATGAGTTGTGTTAACTGTTGGCATGAAAATAATTTCTATGAACAACGACCAATTATAACTAGAGTATAGTGTGGAAATAAATATTTGAGGGCAAGTTACTTAGCTGGGCATGCAATTTTAAATCTTGGAGAATAATAATATCAGCTAGTATTTTTGGGAAGCTCGGAAATCAAATTGAAATTAAATCCACTCTTCACGGTTAAGTCGGCAAACAAACGATTTAAGTTTAAAGTGCTATCTTTGGTAAATTATATAGTGGAACATACTTAAATAGTGCTTTAATATTTTGTTCCTACGAGTTAGTATGTAGTATGGGCTGAGTCATGGTACATTTGTTAGTTGAAACCGGCAAGGTTTAGACCCTTTAAAAATTACGACAAAAGCGCTAAAGGTTGTTAGTTCTAACCAAGCCTTTACTCTATCCAAGTCGGAAAAGAATTGTAGATAATGCCATTTTGGCATTTAAAATTTAACAAAAATGATTAATCAATATATCCATGTTTTTGTACAGTTGGTTGCATCAAGTCGAGCACTTGGGCATGGTGTAGGTTATAGTCATGTTGGTTGTCACGTGGAACTCGTAAAAATTGTCTGAACTACGTTGGAACGCGCTATGAACCATGTCGTTGGCTCTTTGTTCGTGAACTGGCATTTCAGTGACGAGCTTACCTTGGCACTCGTTTATCTTCCCTAGAGAAATTATCGTGGCTAGCCCTCTCAGCCCTATCCTAGAGCTGGCCACTAATTCCTATAAATTCTATAGGAACTTCAGAGGTTTTATATCCTGTTGATATCTAAAAGTTTTTTTATATAAAGACACTCAAATGAGTGTCACATTTGATGTCTCAAGGAAAACAAAGGTTGGTATAGAAAATAAACAAAAAGACACAAAATAAATTCTAAAAATAAGAGTACATCAGACCAAATCGGTCGTCTTGTTCCTTCGAACACCCACTTCTTGCCAAAGTTTAAAGATCACATTGTGAAGACAGCAAAGAAAAGGAACACCTGCAAGTTACCTTCTATTCTTCCGAGAGGAATTCTAATACTTTTACTTTTGTTACTTTTGTTGTGACGTTCTCTTTTTATGTGGTGCAAGGAAGAATCTCTTTGGGTGACAGAAAGATATTTAAGGTAGAAAAGTCTCGTTCAAATAAAAAGACTAGCAATTGCTGGTTAAAGTGAAGTCGGTCAAAGCAAACCTATATCATATTAACGACAGGATCCACGAACAATCCGGACCGGACGGCACGTCGTCTCTTGGTTTCCCATCCATGTGCTGTGGACTAAAATACACATTTCTCCTGCCACGCGTGAGTCGTGATCGTGACCACTGAATCCATCAGTGGCGGAGGAAAAGGCTGGCTGAGGGGCCAAGCACGTCCAACATTTATATGTCCCCTATAATGCATTCCCTTTATTAACTATTTAATAGTTTAATTAGTCCGTAGAGAGATGGCTGTTAATATCAGCTGCTCTAGAAATACGATCATACAGTACACTATCTAATTAGATAGTTAATTATAATTAGTGATTTGCTTGTTCGCTCTCTCTGAATAGATAGTCATTGATATCTATATTATTTAGGATTAATCTTCCTATTATCTTCTTTATCTCCTTTGTTCCTATTATTTTCATAATTCTTTTTTGGTCTAAGAATTTGATCGATGGGTCAACGTTAGAGATCTGCTAATTATTGTCCCCATTTTCTCTATAATATTCAATATTTTTTTTAGTTTTCAGTTTTCTTTCATACTGTCGAGTTGGATGCTTTTTAGAAACAAATTATACATGAAGAAATACATGTTCACAAAAAAATACATGAAGAAATACATACACGGCAAGAGTATCCATAACATGAAGTACTTACACATAATTTTCAGTTTTCTTCATGCATGATTGTTTCTGTCGAGTTGAACGACGCCTATCCAAATTATGGCTCTGCCCCTGCATTGTCTTCAGGACGATAAGCTACTGAAATACTTATTTTCAATAAGGGTCTTTGAATTTGAAAATTGGGACATTTTTTAGGAAGAAGACTGAATCCGACTGGAATTATGCTAAACCATTCCAGGCAAAAGAAAACAAATATATAGTGCAAAAGTATTTATGGACCTCCATGGGAAATTCCGAGCATTATTTCTAAACTGGCCTCAAACTAGGTTTCATTAAACATTTTCCCTCTTTATAACTTAATTTCTAAAATAGTTTACTTTCATTCACAACGTACATTACATGACTGCATAAGTATCTTAGAATACAGCTTATCGGGCTTTCATTGCTGCTGAAACAACTCATAGAAATGCTCCAATTCGATTTGGGTATAGCGCTGAAAGTAGGACAGATAAACAAAGTCCAGCTTTTATTTCTCCTTCAGGCCCAATAATAATTCTTGTTTTTTTTTCTTTTAGAGGGAGCCCACTAAGATGGAGGCCATTCAAAATGGATCCGGGGGATGTGTGATGTTTTTTATTTTATGACATATATATCGGCGTGGCTAGCGTCCGGACGCCTGCGCAGCCCGCCCCAGTCCACCATCGCCCCACCCTCGTCCGCCTTCGCCCTGCCCCACGCGCGCACTCCGCTTTGCCCCCGCCAGTCATACTACAGACCCGCTCCTCTCTCTCTCTCGGGCGGCACTCGAGAGCCGGGACACGGCGTACCCCGCCCCGACCGGAGCATCCGTCCACCCGCCCCAGCACCTTAAATGCGCAGCCCCCTAGCTCATTGCCAGCCATCTGCGTCTGCCTGCCCCTCGGCTCGTCCCTGGCCAAACAACATAAAACACTTGCAACATGAAAAAAATTTGAATGCAACGTATGTTTGAAAACAGATGAAACACTTAGAACATGCACTTGCAACATGTGTGTGGACACATGAAATATCAAAAAAATTACACTTGCAACTTGCAACATAAAACCACTTGCTGCAACATAAGACTAAAACAGTTGACACATTTTGGAACATACTGTTGCAACATATGTGTGAAACATATGCAACATCCAGATAAAGACAATTACAACATACGTCTGGAAACAAATAAAACATTTTGTACAAACGCTTGCAACATGCATCTAAAAAAAACACTTGCAAGATGGCAGGGACCCGATCCACGATTCCCCATGAGAGAATTCCCCTATTAGGGGACGGGTATGGGACCAAATCCAAACCCACGGGGATCTAAACGGGGCCAAATCCATCCCGGTCAAGTCTGGCCGGGCCGGGGATGGGGGAGCCGTCCCTGAATCCATTGCCCGTGGAGCCCCGTTTAGCACTTCATCATCTATGTGCATCCGGTACATCATGCGTTGTAGAACCCGATCTATCGTCCATTCCCTCCAAAGAAACCCTAAAAGAGTTTCACCGCACCTGCCTCTCGGCGAGTCCCACCCAAGGCCCGCTATCCCTTCGCCCTTTAGTGTTTCCACGCGAGGCGCGACCGCACCAGAGCGCTTCGTGCCCTCTAGTCTCGACTACTTTGTACCCTACTCGGCGACGCCGATGCCGCTCATGACCAAGACGTTCTCCATGCGGCGGCCCAAGCACCTTGCCCTCCCATCTCTAGTCTCGAACTTCGAGTCCGTGGTTTTGCACATGCAGATCTTCATCCTGGAGCCCGCTCGAGCACTCCGATTCTGGATGTAGATGCTTCGTCCTAGCGCCAACCTCTCATGGCTTCACCTAGCTTTGAGGTAGGTGAGCAAATGTAGATGTAGGGGCTGTGACACACCCTATCTTCTTGTCTTTTGTCTCTAGCTACATCGGGGCCGAGGACCCGTCGGTATGAATCCCAAGTGGGGGCGGGGATGGGAGAATCCTCCCCACGACGTT